TAAACCATTGCCCAGTATGACCGATGAACTCCACCTCCGGTTCCCGGTCTTCCCAGGAGGTTGGCCTGGCCCAAAGTTCCAACTCTAGATTCACCATCACAGGGTTGGTCTTCTTGGTAACTGGCCCTATTCTGAAGTTATCTAAGGGTCCCCCTCTACTCACCTGATTAGCATAACAAAGACTTCTATCTATATGTGTATACATATACATGTATTTTTTAAGTTTAGTTTTGCGCGTGTGAGAGAGAGCATGCAAGTGGGGAAGGGGCAGATAGAGGGAGAGAGAATCCTAGGCAGACTCTGCACTTTCAGTGCTGAGGCCAGCGTGGGGCTCAGACTCACATGAGATCATGATCTGAGCCAAAGTCAGAGGCTTAACAGACTGAGACACCCAGGTGCCCCTATACATGTATTTTTTAAGTGTTCGTTTATTTCGAAAGAGAGCGCAAGCAAGGGAGGGGCAGAGAGAGAGGGAGTCAGGGAATCTGAAGCAGGCTCTGTGCCATCAGCACAAGCCCAACATGGGACTGGAAATCATGAACCATAAAACCATGACCTGAGCCAAAGCAGGACGCTTAACCAACTGAGCGACCCAGGCACCCATATATATGTTATATATACATATACACAAATATATACATATATATATATATATCATATATATATTCTTTTTCTTAAAATTATTTACTTTAAGAGAGAGAGAAAGTGACTTGGAGAAGGGCAGAGAGAGAGAATCCCAAGCAGGCTCCACACTGGCAGTGTGGAGCCCTATTCGGGGCTTAAACTCACTAACCGTGAGATTATGACCAGAGCCAAAATCTAGAATTGGACACTTAACTGACTGAGCCATCTAGGCACCCCACAAACATATATATATATTTTTTTCAAGTAATCTTTACACCCAACATGGGGCTCGAACTCATGACCGCCAGATCAAGAGTCACCATGCTTTGTTGGCTGAGCCAACCAAGTGCCCCAACCAGATACATTCTTTATTATACTACACTATTTGACTTGTTTTATAGAAGTTCATTTAAACCATGAAACCTCACTTACTGGAAGAAATACCTATTTTTAGTGTATAAAGACAGCCATAGGTTATTTGAACAATAAATTCGTCTTTTGATGATGGAATTCCATACAGATGTGGAAAGGTATATTCTTGTAGATTGGGGTTAATGAGTTACTTATTAAGGTCTCAATTTGTGAAGAAACATTAATACAGGACTGTTTCTAGGTACAGACAAAATTGCAAAGAACTGTGAAGATTAAAGAACACTTTAGAAATTTGTATTATACTGTGTTCTATTATACTGTATTCTATCATACTGTGTTCTATCTATAAAAATGGGGGCACCTGGGTGGCTCAGTCGGTTAAGCATTCCGCTTCAGCTCAGATCGTGATCTCGAGGTTCGTGGGTTCGAGCCCCACATCGGGCTCTGTGCTGACAGCTCAGAGCCTGGAGCCTGCTTTGGTTTCTGTGTCTCCCTTTCTCTCTCCTCAAATAAATAAAAACATAAAATTTTTTTTAAAATGCACCAGGTTGAGGTAAATTAGGGTAATTGTTATAGACTGTAATAAGACTTTTCAC